TATAATTGATTGATCAACAGGATTTATTTTTTGGTCCTCAGTTTTCTTTAAAGTTTCATATTCTGTCGGACACATGGCTGATATATTTCATATATTTACATTTATGTATGCAGGTTTTGTGAATATCTACATCTAACTTTATTATAGCTTGATGAGCTCCCTAATTACACTGAGAGAGTGTCTGATAAAAGTATTTGCTCCTGTTGAACTTTCCCACGTTTGTCATGTTGCAACAATGAACCACAATGAATTTTATATTAACTCACCGAGCACTGTTTAGTTCATCATCTAAAATGCAAAGAGACAACTGGCTGTATGCCTAAACTGACAGGCTTAGCAAGAAAAGCATTTATCAGAGAAGTAGCCAAAAAGCCTATGGTAAGTCTGGAGGAGCTGCATAGATCCCCAACTCTGGTGGGATAATCTGTTGTCAGGGCAACTCTTAGTTGTGTGCTCCACAAAATCTGCCTTTTGTAAAAAACTGGAAAGAAAGTTGTAAATGTTGAAAAAAAGGCTAGTTTGATTTTGCTAAGAGCAAAGTGGAAGAAGATGCTCTGGTCAGGTGACCACATGCTAAACACAATATGTGGTGGAAAACTAAGAGCTAAATACACTATCCCCATGGTAAAGCACAGCAGTGGCAGCATCATACTGTGGGAATATTTTTCTTCAACAGGGCCAGGGAAGCTGGTTAGACTGAGAGAATAAGGATAGAGCTTAACACAGTGCTGAATAGAAATGTATACCACTGTTTTCAGACTTTTTACTGGACAAAAACCAAAAGCATGTATCATTTTTCTTACCCTTCACAATAATGCACTACTTTGTGTTGGCCTAAAATCACATTAAAATCACATAAAAAACCTATAAAATACACCAAGGTTTATGTGCAAGTCTGCAAAGTACTGTATTTTGCAAATGGTCCTTTTGTTTTATTTTACGTTGCTCTGATGCTGATGTTTCTTTCCAGGCATTATCCGTTTGCAGTGAAAGCATCTTTTTAATTAGAACATATGTTTTGTGGACTTTTGCTCCTTTAAAACTTGTTTTTTTATTGTAAAAATTATATTATTTGTTTCTTTTGACTTGAGCTTTTGACTTTGTCTGTACCCACAGGTTTTCGAGAGAGTGCGTTCGCGTATGCAATTGCAGCAGCTGGGGTGGTGCACGCGGTGGCCAACGCCTGCTCCATGGGAAAACTGAAAGCATGTGGTTGTGACGAGAAGCGGCGCGGGGACGAGGAGGCGTTTCGGCTCAAGCTTAGCCGCTTACAGCTGGAGGCCATCCAGAGAGGGAAGGGGATGGTTCACGGTGTGATGGAGCACTACCCTGCCGACCTCTCCGGACTGCAGACGGACACCTGGGAGTGGGGTGGCTGCAGCCCTGATGTGGAATTCGGGGAAAAGTTCTCACGGGACTTCCTGGATGCTCGTGAAACCTACAGAGACATCCATGCAAGAATGAGGTTGCATAATAATAAAGTTGGGAGGCAGGTGAGTGTGTCTGCACAACATCACATACTTGAAGTTATTTATCTTTTGGCTTTTGCAATACAGTACATATAATTATATAAAGTCTGTTGTAGTACGCTCAATTGAGTGGGATCATCTGTTGAAATCATACCTGTAACTAAATAGGATTAAGTTGAGGCTCATAAAACAGTCTATACAGAAATCTAAAAATAAGTTTCAGAAAACCATCTGCACTGCAGTGTTTATATTCCTTTTTTCAGTTTTAATTTAGAACAAATCTTTCTTTTGAAAACTTTTGGTGCAGTTGTTAAGTTGGAAGTTGGTGTTTGATGTTAGTCCTCAAATATTTTGTCAACATCTAATAAGAAAGTACATAAGACCTGCATAATGTCACCCACTGATTCATGGATTGTTGTTTTGAGGCCTTCAGTTTGTCACTTTGTTGTCTCCATCTTGGGTTTTGTAAGCCAACGAGAAGTGCAGAAAACAAGTCTTATTAGGAACACAAAACACTATTCACGTCCAACAGGAGCCACCTATCAAGACCTACAGCCTTGATTTTGCTGTATTGAAACACTAAGTGTGATCTACTAGTACACAGAGAATTAAAAGATAACCCAACAGACATGTGTTGGGAAAGAGATGCACAAAAAGAAAACTTTAAACAAGTCTGTCAACAAACAGTACAAGAATATCCTAAAATTTTGCATGTTGTACAGCTACGATACTGAAGTAGATCAGAACTGATAAACAGAGGTGGCTGTAGTATTCCTGTTTGAGGAGTCTAGGTGCATAAATATAAAGCAGCAGAATTTGTGAAATTTATAATACTTAGAAAAATCTAAACAACTTAAGTTTTTCTTGACTAGTCAAGTGTTTTAAAGCTGTATGGGGCTGATTAAATTTCAGAAAATGTAGCTTTTGATATTTCTACACAGGCATGAGGCTTTTATTCCTTTGTCATAGTTAATCAAACCACAATATGCCCTGACGCTGTTTAATGTAATTTTCTATGCTCAGGCATGTGAGAGTTGCAGGACTGTAAAAAAATATAAATAATTACCATTTTTGACTGGTTCAAAACTGCAGTTTGTTTCTGCGTCGACGCTGAGAGCCTATTATTGTACGGCCTGTTTTCATGAAAGAATACAGAATAGCTTAATTGATCAACACTGAAATATGTTGCAGTTTTATGTGCCCAAATTTGTAGAATGACTACACTTATACTAAATCTCCTTATTGCTCTGAATATTATTACTTTTCGCCATTCTGCTCTTCAGAGAATAACAATAGGAGCATGACAAGTAGACCATAGCTGGTTATTTAGTCGGGATATTTGTTTGGCTAAAATGCTGCTAGTAGCTTCCCAGGTATACTTTAATAACAGCATTGCCTTTTTAAGAGTGAGGCTCCTTTAAGTTTTTTTTTTTATATTTTGTGGCATTAGTGGCCTTTTTGTAAGTTGACCAACAGGAAATCGGGTGGAGAGAGAGAGAGGTGAAGACATGCAACAAAGGTCAACGGCACTCAAACCAGCGACGGCTGTGTCAAGGACTGTAGCCACTGTATGTGGGTCTCATGCTTTACTGCTGTGACACCGCAGTGCCTGCTCCTTTAAGTTTTATTGCCATGACTTAGCAAAAATCTGACTGATGCTTAGCAGTAATCAATGGTACACCAAAAGAGGTGAAGGAGGGTCGAGCCCTGAGAAATTTTGCTCCAAGCAGCCAGAAAAACACTTTCACTGGCATCTGATTACAAGGATTTTTTAAACTGTGCTTTTTAAACCGCCTTGAGTGCCTTGTTGCTGAAAAGCTCTATATACATAAACTTGACTTGACTTGACTTGACTACAGAAATTGATCTAACATTTTGCTATGTATTGACACACATTATTGGTATAAACCCCATGTTTGAGATTAATAATTTGGCCATAAATGCTTCTTGAAGGATGGAGTAAAAGTGGCAAAAACAGTTAATTATAACTAAATAATTTATTGATGGTATAATTAATGCTCATCTTCATAAAGAAAAAAATCCCAATGAAATGCATTAGACACTGCTCCTCTGTTGAGGCGGTGCAAATTTGAAATTTAATTATTAGAAGTAATTATGCTAAGATTAATCCCTTAGTAGTGATTTTCCCATTTTTAAGCTTTTCTACTTCTCCTACACTCCTGAGTTTTAGTATATTGTATCAGTATTAAAGTATTAGTCTTTGTTGCTAAAATCTATTGAGGTTTTTCAAGCATTTTCCTTCAAGCGTCAAATAGGCCACCAGAAACATTGTTGGTGTTCAGATCAGACAATACTCAGTCTACAGATATACAGTTTTTGAGAATATATTTGAAACTATTCCAGCTGCTGTATATTTTTGTTTCGACTGGTATCACCTCATTTGCGAAAAATTTCCTTTTAGTTTGAAGTTCAAAGGTTTTTTTGTAATAGAAATATAGAATAATAATGATATGAAGTTGTCACATTAGCTGAGAATTTATTTCAGCCTAATTTTTTTTTCAATAGCAGCGATTACAACCGCCACCATTTGAAAAGACTCTCAAACTGACTAGTTCTAAAGGATTTGCCCTTGGGGCAACACAAGAGAAAATGTAAATGACATTGATAAGCCTTGGCAGCGTCCAGCTCTGTTGTGGCAGAGAGACAAGAAGCAACCATAAATTACTCATTGTTCCCCCATTTCCTCCTGAGTAATTTGGGACTGTATCTTTTCATCAGTTTACTTCTGGTTTCCTTGATTATGCAGACAAAACACAAATGTGGGTCTTGTCAGCTGAATGCAGCAACAGCTGGCCTCCCTGCTGTAGCTGGATGGTAAAGTAAGTCATACACACAGGTCAGTGACAGAAGGTTTTAATAAGTGCCTCTCAGCATGAGAGTGAAAAAAGGGGGGGGGGGGGGGGTGTGGGGGGGGGGGGGGGGGTGCGGGGGGGGGGGGGGGGGGGGGTATGACATGAGTCATAATAAATTATTAAGCCAAAAAAAGAAGATGGTTCACTCTCTAAGGACTCTTATTTTGGTATTAACAGCAACTAGGCTACGGATGCACAGTTGTTTTAAATTTTTGTGGTTCATCATAATTAGTTTATTTTTTAATGAAAGACATTGACTCAGACTGTTTCACTGCACGAAATGCAGCGTTTTGTACTGGATTATCTTCATGAAGCAGACTAACACATCCAAATGAAATACTAATTAACAGGGCACATTTCGTCTGCTGAGAAAGTGTACATTTGAGATGTAACAGAGCTAAAATGTTGCATGTAGCAATTTTGTGTGTATAGTTTAACATTAAGTACAGTTGAAAAGCTTCTGTTTTCTTTTCTTTGGAGCTTTACACTCCAAGTTACAGTGACAAAGATATAATCTGACAAATTAATTATGGTTATTAATGATCCCCTTTTACTGGGAAATGATAACTAATGAAAAAAACATGTTATGCATTAGCATAACTTGGTATTCTTCCCCAATCATCAGTAGAATTTTGCCCAAAATATGATATAGTTGGGCTGCACGGTAGCGCAGTTGGTAGCACTGCTTCCTTGCAGCAAAAAGCTCCTGGGTTCAAATCCCAGTCAGGGGTCTTTCTGCATGGAGTTTGCATGTTCTCCCCGTGCATGCGTCGGTTCTCTCCGGTTACTCTGGCTTCCTCCGACAGTCCAAAAGCATGACTGTTAGGATAATTGGTCTCTTTGTCTCTGTGTTGCCCTACGATGGACTGGTGACCTGTCCAGAGTGTACCCCACCTCTTGCCTGTAGACTGCTGAAGACAGGCACCAGTGACCCTGTACTGAAGAAGTGGGTATAGAATATGGATGGAGATATAGTATAGTTATCTTTAAATGAAAGTACATCATGTTTAAATTCAATGGCTTTACCTTTTGGATATATTTAGGGTTTTTGGGGTGTGCCTAATTTGGCAGGAGATGGGTTGACAGATTGGGACCTAGTCTGCAGTAATGTGAGTGCTGCTTTGGTCAGTTGTGGTGAAAAGAGCTGCACAACCATCTATGGTCATGAGAGATGGATTATGAACAAAACAATAAGATTCTGGATATGAGCTACTGCAATGAGGTTTCCCTGTGAGGTGCCTGGACTTAACTTAGAGATAGAACGAGGATCTCCATCACCCGGGAGGAGCTCAGAGAAGAACTGCTGCTCCTCTGTATCGAGAGGATTCACTTCAGGTAATTCAGGTATCAAGTGTGATCCATTGTAACATTGCAAGCATGCTGTTAATCATGCACTGAAGTGTTTGACGTGACATCATCATGTGGCGTCCTAAACAGCTTCTCAGTAAAAGAAAATGTTGTCACTGTAGAACTTTTGAACCTTTATCTGGGAACTGAAGCCACTCATGCAATAGACAAGTGCCATGCATGTGTTTTGTATAGGTATAGACATTTAGGCCCTACTCTTGTTATTCAATGAGATGTGTCATAAATGTGTCAAAGTATGATGTTGATGATGGTACGGAATCCTTCCTGTACTGTACAAATGACAGTCAAACTGAAATTTACCACATATTTTAAAGTAGGCTAACTTTCAGTCACTAAAACTTGACTGCTACCTTTATAATAAATTGGAATAAATAGAATATAATGACATAATTTATTCTAGAGTTACATGTTAAGTCATGTCAAAGATATGCATCACCTAGCTATCTGAATAAAGGTTTAACAGGATTTTTAGGTTAAGTTTTTAAGTTAAAAGTTGAAGTTAAAAGTATATTTAAATCATCTTTGCCCCTGCTCTCCCTGTTGCTGCACACTGGTCAAGTGTTTACCCTATATTTTTGTCCAGGTGTCAAACCTAAAAGACTAAACATGTTATATATTATAGATAGCAGTTTTATAACAAATCTCAATATGTTAGTTATTTAGCTGCAGTGGTAATATTTGTTACTTTTCAGTGTAAATTAAAATGATATGATCATTTTCTGCATGTTTGTGTAAATTCCATGAAATTATAATATTTTTTTCAATGAGAATTTCATACAAATGTAAGCGTAGAAACAAATGCTTCAAAATTAGAAGTTGCTTTAAAAAGAGTTATCACACCCAGCAAAACCTAAATGACAATGAGACTCCACACCCATACTTACTGACAGGAGTGATGACCTCTGATGACCTTAGTAGAGATTCAAGATAAAGTCTTCTGCAAATGACTTAACTGTTGTTGTACATCTGATAGCTTAAACTCCAAAACATTCGCTAGAATTCAGGTCACAGAATCATAATAATCTTTCCATCATAATTCCATATCCAAAAACACAAAATGCATATCATGAATCCTTTGCTTTCCTTAATGAAACATGTTATTAAGTACCACAGCAGCTTCAGTCTCCAGCAGGTTACAGATGACCTCAAGCTGGAGAGCCCTAGTTCAGTGAGTACACAGTACACAGTACACAGAGAACCAATTTCAGGTGAAGAAAAATAACTTAAGGGAGAAATAAAGTAGTAAAAGAGACACAAAGCAGGGTTGAACATGACGGTCAAAGAAGCAAGTGAGTCAGTGAGGAACTGTTACTGTAAAACAGCCCACATCTGATGACTTTAAGTGTAAAGCACAATAAAGCCCTATTATAAACCAGCCACAAACACGTACATGCACACACAAGGCCCCTTGTATAAAACAGAAAACACTGACAGGTGGGGCCATAAAATAACGCCTACCCATCTCTTGTGTCTTTTCCTCCCACCAACCCACCGCTATCACTACTTTACCTTCCTCCATCCCAGTCCTGCCCCTGTCCCACTCCCCCCCGTTTCAGAGGAGTAGTCTTTAAGCAGAGGAATGTCGTGGGTTTTTTTCCTTTTTTTCTTCTTACACGGGGTGTGCATGTTGCCTCATGCCCACCCCAGGGTTCTCACGACGTCCCGTCTTGTTTTTAGCCCTAATTAGTGACTGCTGGCAGTTTGGAAACAGATGTTTAAAACCCTGCAAAAGATTTTAGACTTCAAACAGCGGGGCGGAAAGTAGAAAGAGATTCGCCCTTCCTTCCCTCATTTCTTTCTCCTCTACTGCTCTACCTCCTCTAACCTCTCTCTAGTAGAAATTAAAATGATAAAAAATACTATTTATGGCATCATTTGAATAACTCTGTTATGTAAACTACAAGGTTTGAAAATGTTTTTAAAAAATACTTTTGCTTTTTAGTACTGAAAAAATCCATTCAACAAAGATTTTGCTGCAAGCCTTACTTACTTTACTGTCACTGTTTACTGTTTAAAATCAATAAAACATCAGCAGGCAATAAATGTCTTGGTTAAACAGTCTTTTATCTCCTCAGAGTGTCCTTGTCTATCATTTAAAGAGTTTGGCACACATCTGTGTGTTCATTATGCACAGCTAAGAGCCATGTCAAGGTTCTGTTGAATCCTGTCTGTTCATAGGGTAGGCAGGTGGTGACAGTGCTGGCTAAGCAACAGTCTGCTGTGTTACTGGCAAGCGTGTTGGTAATTAAAATTTGCCATCAGGGCCAGACTGCATGGGAGCAAAGAGAGAGGCTGCTGCTTTGCAGGAAGGCGACTATCTATTTCCGCCCATTTTCACCACTCTGTATAAATGTCTACAGCTTGTAACTCAAGGTCTGAGTGTCTCTTTAAATCCTTTTCAGTCTTTATAGTTGTGATATAACTTATATCTCAGTTTTTGCTGCTTCTCTGTTTGTTTCATCATTGGGGATACTATGGCAGCAAAGTAAAATCAGCCTTGACTTTAAAGTTGAAATGATATTCTTCATCATTCACAGTGTTATTACACTGAATGTTTGATTGAATAAACATAGTGATTACAAAAACCTGACACATTAACCTGAGAAAACTGCTTGCATTGTCTTTATAAAAACCAATGCTTCGCAGAAACATTCATGCCACTAAACTTGTACACATTTCGTCATGTTACAACCAGAAACTCCAGTGTATTTTTCTGATAGGTCAACATAAAGTAAGACATAATTATAGAGTGGAAGGAAAATGCTTTATGGTGTTCAAAATGTTACAGATACATATGTGAATTTTGTGGGGTGCATTTGTATTCAGCCCCTTTACTCTGATACCCCTAAATATAATATGGTGCAATATTAGAGAACAAATACATCATGAATAAGGTTGTCAGGATAAAAGTTTTGGAGACGTTTAAAGTAGAGTTAAGTTAGAAAACGATATCCCAAGCACTGGAGATTTCAATTCATCATGTGATCCACAGCTCAGCTGGGAGACTGTCGACTAGCTTTGTACTGGTACTGCAATGGTAAGAAGAAAGCTGTTGTTGAAAGACAGACATTTTCAGTCCAGTTTGCAATTTGCCACAAGCCATGTCGGACACAGCAAATGTGGAAAAAGGTGCTCTGGTCAGATGAAACAAAAACTGAACTTTTTTGCCTACATGCAAAATGCTATATGAAAACTAACCCTCAACATAGTTCAATCAGACAACTCACGTGTACATGTTGAAATACATCTTTATTGGCTAGTATGGTATAAGTTTAAATTTGTTGTCTAGGCTCTGATCTTCTCACTTCATGGTCATGTTGCTCACTAGTCATAGGATGATGAGTGCATCTCTACCTCCCCGAGCAAGTCTTCAGCATGTCAGAAAGTGAGGAGAGGCTCTCTGACCTCAGAGCCCTATGGCGGGTCCTAGGGTGGTGGACGGGCTAAAGACAACAGAGTGGTTGAAATCAAATCACATTTATGTGTTAGAGTTGGCCAAAGTCCAGCCCTAAATCCAGTTGAGAATCTGTGGTTAAACTGGTGATCAAAAAACACTATCCAACTCGACAAAGCTAGATGTATTTAAATGGACCACCATACACTTGTTTGTGTGCAAATCTAGAGACATAACTCATTAGACTTGCACCTGAAACTGCTGCTAAAGATGGTTCTAGATACTATTGACTCAGGTGCCTACTAACGGGCTCTTCTCATTTTTCTCATTACATATTTTTTGGGGGGAAACGTTTAAAATCCATGTATTCCTTCCACTTCTCCACCATGCATTTTTGTGTTAGTGTGTTACTTTACATTAGACTGATTCAGATTAAAGTTTGTGGTTGTAACAGTGCAATGCACACTGTAAATGAAGTGATTGTTTTGTACCATGATGCAAAACTCCTCGACATTGGCCACTTTAGAGTAGTTTTAATAGAAAAACTTGTTTTTCTAAAGCAGATGTTTCAGAGCAATCGAGGACTAACTTTGTGTATGTGAAGGCTTAACGCTGCTTTAACTGCAGCTCTGTAAGATTTATTAGCAAGTCATAATGAATTTGAACGACACCCCTTTGAGATCCGCCCAAACCAGCAATACTGGGAGCTCCAGATCTTTTTATGGCTAATTTAACCCATGGGCAATGATAAACTGCTCATAAGCGGCAGTTCAGGTTACTTAGAAACCACACAAAAGGAATCAACCGTTTGATCAAGAAACATTAGTGCTGGGTTATCCCTACAGTCCTCAGAGGACATTTCATATCGTCGTTGCCGTGCAGGGCTTTCCTGACGGTACAGAGCAAGGAGATTCAATCTGAACTAACACATACTGTGCATATACTAGTATGTGTCAGCTTTACTCATGCACACACACGA